CGTGCCCCCACACACCTCACCTCCCTGTCCCCCCCTCGTATCCCCATACACCCCCCTGTGCCCCAGACATACACTGTGTCCCACACACCTACCCCCTGTGTCCCCTGTACCCCATACACCCCCCTGTGCTCCAGACATACTCTGCACCCCACACACCTAACCCACAGGTATCCCATGTGTCACAGAATGTGGGGGAGTCAGGGCCCTGCATCCCTCTTCCTGGGATTCAGCGTGACTCTCAGCCAGCCGGTAAAACGGGAGGTTTATTGGACAGTAGGAACGCAGGCTAAAACAGAGCGTGTAGGTACAACCAGAACCCCTCAATCAAGTCCTTCTGGGGGGTTCAGGGAGCTTAGACCCCAGCTTGGGGTTCCCTGCATTGCACCACCCAGCACCAAACTGACACTAAAAACCCCTCCAGCAGCTCTCTCCCCCCTCCCCCCAGCTCCTCCTCTCCTTTGTTCAGTCTCCCGGGCAGGTGTCACCTCTCCCAACCCCCCTCCTGGCTCAGGTTACAGCTCAGGTAACTTCCTGCAAGGGAAGTCCCCCATCCCCAATGCAACCCCCCTGCAACATTCCCAGGTCAAATCCACCCGCTCCCTGTTGCATCACACCATGTATCCCCACCTGCCCACTGACTATCCCCCAAGTGCCCCTCTGCTGTCTCCATTCGCTGGGGACCACCATGTGCCTAGGGGCTGCAGGGACATGGGGGCTGCCTCTGGGAGGTGCTACCGGGACCCCACACTCCAAACCACCTCTTGCACCCCAACCCTCTGCCCCAGCCTAGAGTCCCCTCATGCACTCAAACTCCCTCCCGGAGCCTGCACCTCCCTCCAATACCCCAGCCCCTCCTGCACCCCAAACTTCTCATTCCTGGACCCACCCCAAAGCACACACCCCCACTCAGAGCCCATACTCCCTCCCACACTCCGAGCCCCTCGGGCCCAGCCTGGAGCCCCCTCCTGCACCCCAAATCCCTCATCCCCAACCCCACCCCAGAGCCCACAGCCCCAGCCGGAGCCCTGACCCCCGCATCCAACCCCCCTGCCCCAGCCCGGTGAAACTTAGGGTGCGGGATGGAGCAAGCGGGTATGGAGCCTTAGAGAGCGGGTGGGGGTGGGGCCTTAGATAATGGGTGGGGCAGGCTGGGGCAGGGCTTTAGAGAATGGGCGGGGTGGGGGTGGGGCCTTAGAGAACCGGCAGGGGTGGGCGGGGCCTTAGGGAAATGGGCAGGGCTGGGGGCGGGGCCTTAGAGAATGGGTGGGCTGGAGGCGGGGCCTTAGAGAACCAGCAGGGGTGGGGCGGGGCCTTGGGGAATGGGCAGGGCTGGGGGCGGGGCTTTAGAGAATGGGTGGTCTGGAGGCAGGGCCTTAGGGAATGGGCAGGGCTGGAGGCGGGGCCTTAGAAAATGGGCAGGGGTGGGGGCAGGGGCCTTAGGGAACAGGCAGGGTGGGGGCAGGGCAGGGGTGTTCAGTTTTGTGCGATTACGAAGTTGGCCACCCTAATGTCCGGCCAGATGTACTGACCAGGCACCGAAAGGCCGGTCACTGCAGGGCGAGGGGAGGCGCGGACAATCCAGCCAGTGAGGGGAAAAGGGGGAGAAGAGCGAGCGAGGGGGGCGGGGCCTTGGGGGAAGGGGCAGGGCCTCGGGTGGGAACCCTAACGTGCCCCACACCCAGGCTGGAGGGGAACAAAGGCACCGAGAGGGGGCTGATTTCCTGGGCCAGGGATAGAACCCAGGTGTCCGGAGTCCTAGGCCGAGGCCAGGCCCTGGCCGTCTCCTCTTCGGGCCTGGCGTTGCCAGGGATCCCCAGCGCACGGGTCCCCTCGCCGTGGGGAGCCTGCCTGGCCGTCAGCGTCGCTGTCGGAGCCCCCCGTCACGGGCGCTCTGCTCTCCCCTGCACAGATCCCAGCCCCCCCGGCCGGCCTCGCGCTCTGCTGGGCCAGCTCCTGGCTCTCCGGCGTGTGTCTTGGCCGGGCTACAAAGGCCAGGAAATTAAAAGCAGATTGTGTCCTTCCCTGCTTTGGAATGAGGTGGTTGGGGCCCTGGATTCAGCTCCGCGCTCTCCCCACCCCGAGCTCTGGCACAGCACCGTGGGGGGCTTCCCCTTCCCCAGGCCCCGCTGCCGGGAGAGACCCCGTTCCCCTCATTCCCAGGAGCTTGGTGCTGCTGGCAGGGCGCTTAACCCTTTGCTGAATGGGTGGGCTCCACTCCCAGCCAGACCACCCAGGGCGGAGGGGTCACGCCCCGCGCTCCAGCCGTCTGCCCTGAGATGCTGCACAACCTTCATCAGCATCCCAGCCCCCCCCCACCGCCTGTCCGTCCCAGGGGATTGGCTAATCTCCCCCAGGGCTTAGCCCCACCACACTCGGCTTCCCCTGAGGTCCCCGGGCTGCTCCAGGCCACGCCCGCACTCAGAGCAGCCCCTGCTGTCGCCCGGCCACGGGTGCTAACCCCCAGCTTGGCCTTGTCTCGCTCAGGAGGCACTGAACACCCCGAGAGCACCAGCCCAGGGGCTCAAACCTGGCAGCCAATCAGGTCCTCTTGGGGAGCGCAGGGAGCTTAGACCCCAGCTTGGGGTTCCCTGCGTTGCACCTCCCAGCCCAAAACTGAAGACGTCCCAAAACCCTCCAGCAGCTCCCTCCCCCCTCCCCTCTGCTCCTCCTCTCCTTTGTTCCTCTCCCGGGCAGGTGTCACTTCTCCCACCCCCCTTCCTGGCTCAGGTTACAGCTCAGGTAACTCAATGTAACTCCCAGGCTCCATTCCCAGGTCAAATCCGCCCTGCTCCGTCACAGCGCGCGCCAGGGATCCTGGCATCCCTGCTCCAGTCAGATCCTGGGTGCCTGTCATGCTTTCTGGGGTACCCAGGGCGGGGAGGCCCCTCACGGCCCCCTGCTGTCAGCGTCTCCACAGGGACGGGTAAAATCTTGTCCCCTCTCCTCTCGCTTCCTGGCTTTGGTCCCAGGAGCTCCCATCTTCAGAGACCACCTGGGGATTCCTGTGTTTGCCAATTCCCCCCACCTCCCCGCCGCAGGCCGGACAATAATGCTGCCTGCCCGGGGCTGCCACGCTCCCCACGCGGACCCAGTCAGCCCTGAGGCTCACCTCCCCGCAGGCCACAAACGTCCCCAGGGCTGGAATCTGCTGTTTGCCACCGCTCTTAACCGAGTCCCCACACAAACCTCTCACGATGATGGGGCTCCCGGCTCTCGGGAGAGACCTCACATGCCGCCCTCAGGCCCAGGGGCTCCCCGTAAAACCCGCCGCACCCCCTGTGCCTGTTGCCAGATGGCACCTAGACATCCCGGGGTCACAGAGCCACCCTCCCCCCCGTTTTGTTCAGAGACTCCCTGCAACCCACCCCCACTGGCATGCCAGGGGCTCTGTGTGCCCCCCATGCCCCTGCCCCCATGCCAGGGCCCTGGCAGTGCTGGGGATCTGGGCACCGGAGCAACCCCAGAGACTCCAGGGGAAGCCAGGCCGGGAGATAGCAACAAGCCACGTCCCGGGGCATTGGGCATTATCCCGCTTCCAGAGGCTTCTCTTGCAGACGGCTGCCCACGGGCGGCACCGAGCTGCAGATCCCAGTCGCTGCCACCTGCCATGCAGCCTGGTTCCTCTGCCAGCATCTCCTCTCCCCTTCCCCCACAGGTGAGCTCGGGGGCAAAGGGGCATGTGGCACTGGGGGGCACCGGACAAGCCTTGGGGGTTCTCTGCGCTGCCCTGCTGGGCTGGCCCTGCGGCGATGGGCGTGGCATCTGCAGAGGGGTGTGTCTGCCTGGAATGCCAGCCCCAAATCTCACCGCTTGGGGTGCATGCGCATTGCACGTTTAACGGAGGCAGCGTTGGCAGGGCTGGCGCAGCGGAGCCCAGCGCCGGGTACCAGGTGCCCTTGGGGGGCCCTGATCTCGGTCGGATACCGTAATATAAAGAATACACAGGCTGTGCCTTGCGCTGCCAGGGCCCTGGGGGGTCCCTGCCCACTGGGCTGCAGCAGGCCCCATGCAGGGCTGTGACCAGGAGCCGGAATCTGCTCCCCCAGGTGCTACCCGCAGCCGGCTTGGCTGGGCGATGCTCGGAGCTGGGAGGGGAGGTGGAGGAGGCGGGGAGCAGTAGCTGGAGCTGCCACTGGCTGCCTGCCTGTCCGGGAGCGGCATTCCTAGGCAGGCCGCTGCAGTGCTCAGCGGGGCCTGCAGCTGTCACTGGCATCGGCACCCGGGCAGGGACCGGCGGCTCGTCCGCCCCAGCCACTGGCTGGGCAGAGGTGCCAGGGCGTTGGCATCCCACTGACCTGCCCTGGGACGGCAGCTGGGCGCTCTGGAGCCAGGGGATTGGACCCTTCTCCTGGGGGACAGATGGGGGTCAAGGTGGGTCCCAGGGGGCTGGAGGGCCTGGGAGGGGAACGCGCTGGGTCGGCAGGGGGGTTGCTTTGGAGTCTTTGGGGAGTGGTTCCCAGCTCCTAGCTGTCAGGAGGGGCTTGGGGAGCGACAGCCCGGGGGGGCACGGCAGGGAGGGGGCGGGTGGGGCGAGCGGGCACGGAGCAGAGGACTCAGCAGGATGTAAATATTTACAGCTGGGCTCAGAGCGCTGCCCCCAGACCTGATTGTGGGGCCGGGGGTCAGGAAAGGCATCCCCATGCCCCGGCTTCTGCTCAGTGTCACGGGCCTTCTGCCGGGAGAGCCCTGCCCATACGGCCAGACTGGGCGTGGGCTTGGGGAGGGCAGAGGGGCTGGGAGCCAGGACTCCTGGGTTCTAGCCCAGCTCTGGGAGGGGAGTGGGGGGCTGGGAGCCAGGACTCCTGGGTTCTA